GCCTCGATACATGCCTCGACGCTTGCCTCCATCGAAAAGGTGCGTATAATTCTGTATGGGGTTGTCACTGTAGCGTCCGTCTCTTTCCGAGTGATTGGGACTCAAGCAGGATCTGTTCCAAATCCTCGACTCTGAATCCAACCATATTCTCAAAGAGATACATGTCATATATGGTGAACAATCTAAAATTAAATTCTCACTCTGAAAGTTCATGGAAAAGGCCCCGTTTCCAGTTTTTTTTTGGGTGCGGTGCATGCTTCTGAATCGGCCACTGACCGACTGACAGACAGCGGTGACATGGATAAACAGCGAGGTTTAAGTTGTATTCAGGTTACAGGTATGTAGAGTGCATACATAACATACCAGGTCAGCGACGCCGAAAAGGTACTTTTGAAGTAAATGAGGATAGAATTTACTGTGTTTTCTGTATATCTATTTTCACGGTTTCGCTTTCTGTTTTCTGGAATTTCTATACATAATACCCTTTACATAATACCCTTTTTGTAATACCTTGATCACGACCTTGTAGCTACTATTGGGATGGACTTGCTTCCTTCCTTCATCCTTTTATGCTTTCACCTTCGACATGTAGCCTAGCTTACTGATAGACACTGACTTACGCACTTGTAGATAATGTGTACTGACATGGACATTACTTTATGTACTTGATGAATAATCAGTATGGAATCCAAGATTTCGGGTCGTATTATGTCTGCGAAAAGCATCCATGAGAAAATCGGTATCGTTCCCATTCTCCAAAAACCCTGATTGTGCTGCAGACGTCAACTCTTATCAATGGATAGTACTTGAAATCGAAATATAATACGTACATTTCGCTGCCTGAACACCCAAAGAAATCCCTGCTTCCGAGAGCTTGGGAAAAGCGTTTTCGATCCGTGACATGGCCTGCGGGCGCTTAGGGTCGCTCTGAAAGATAATCAAAGTCATCCTCCGTAGGGTGACTACCTTGCTCAGTGAAGCGTCAACAACCAACCATGGCGCCGCAGCAGTCACAAAGGCGCCTCCCTGAAGTTCTAGTGATATGGAGGTCTTAACCGATATCTCTTCAACGCGATGGTCAGGACCGAATTGACTGAGAATTTTCGATGCGCAATTTTTGAAGAGCGAGTAGGTGGTCTTGATTTTATACGCGCTATCGGCAACCAGCCGTAGGCGGAATATCCGGAGGCGGGGTAGCGGGTGGAGACGAAGCGCCGAGAACCGTTCTCCGCGCGAATGTATACCTGGAAAATCTGCTACATGGATTAGAGCAACAGAAATAAATATCGTGAATAGTACCTGCTATCATAGGGCTGAAACAGAATATCTCCAAAGAACCACCCACTGCCTGCAAAATAATGTTCACGTTGGCATAGTCAAATCGTGGGTTAAAAATAGATATCGAAAGCTCGGTGAGAGTAGTTATGTCGAACAGCGCATTCGAACCGATGAGAAAATTGAGCAGAACGCGAAAGGCTTCGTCAGAGATAGATAGTTGCAGTGTCCGGAGTTTGGGAGCTGCTTTGCTAGGACACAATGACCATCCACCATTTAGTATGCGCTGTATATCGTCCTGCTGGAACGCGATAGAACATAGCGACAGTGCCTCTAAATTAGAGCACTCTGCGATAAGAGATAAAGGGATTTCGAATACGCGACGTAATCTGAGAGTAACGAGGCGGTTTGAACGGGCGATATCGCATAGTGAGCTGCGCATCACTGGGGAGAGGTAGCGCCAATATATGGGCCGCGTAGAATTGGTATCAATGCTGAGGTGTTGCAGATTCGCAACTAGCGAAAGGCATGGGATAAGGGAAGTGTCGAGGGTCTGGAGGCGATACGAGTCGGCGACAACGTCGATGCCGCGTACCGCGTTGGCGATATGGGGTGCAGCCTTGAGAAAGTTAGGGAACACCTCTGGGCTTCGTCCCAACGTCAAATCGATGCGAATGCTCGAGAAGAGAAGCTTTTGTGAAACGACGGCGAATCGGTAGCACGCCAGTGAGGTTTCTCTAAGGGCGGTATTGTCGTTTCGAAGATGCTGGAGTATGAGTTCTTCCAGTTCATGCGGCATGTATGGGGCCATGGTTGGTCGTAAGAAAGTCGTTGTGGAATGGGGCGAATGCAGTTGAAGAGAGGGTAGACACGTCGAACGAAACTGTGGTGCTTATGACGAATGATAAAAGGAATGAAAGCTCGGATGCAGAAGCGTCGGGGCCATGGTCAAGAGACCCAGAATGGTGTATCTGTCGAGCGTGAACAATATTCAACGAAGGATGTGTATTTTTAGCATGACATCACATTGAGACTACTCTGGGTTCCTTGCGCGTGTGAGAAGAGCTGCATGCAAGGCGGCGCAGATGGAGGCGCAAGATTTCCAAATCCAAACGCAGGTGCTACATCATCTTGCCGTGCCCTTTCGTTGGGAGGCTCCGATCGTCAGTTGAGAGGAAACCTTGAATCGCTGTAGAAAACATTAGCGCTTCAGAAAATGTGGACAAGCTGGACTTATTCCTCACTCTCTGTCAACACGACGTTCAGAACATTAGCTTCCTTAAGACCTGATAAGGACTGTTTGATGTCCTCCTCCAGATGATCAGTAGCGTCGATTCCATTGGTCGACATTATAAAAGTGAATCGGCGAAGAGATCGGGCTACATGGGGAGCAAGGAGTGTGTCGAGTCGACGCCACATCTCTGCAGCTGCAGCAGTAAGTGGATTGTGTATGGAAAAGGAGATGAGATTAAATTTCAGGGAGATTTCAGTTATGGCATTCTTGTTCGAGAGTTGAGAGAAGAAATGAAGAATCCACAAAAGACAAGTTGGGGATGAGAGGATGTTCATGTCTCTGGAATTGAATGGCATGTGGGACTGGAAACGGACGCGCAGGATACGCAGTGAGGTCAACATGGTTAGATTGATTGGAACACTTGGCACATCATCATCCATGTCTGCGAATTCCGTTGTAAATGTTAGCAAAGAGCAATTCAGAGGGGTTTTGCGGACTACTCACTATAAACGAATGTAGGTTGGAAACAGAAAACTTGTAATGTGCTGGCACAAGTCCGAAGGATTCTATTGACGTCGATATTGTCTTCAAATTCAATAACCAAAAGAAGTAATTCCTCGAGCTTCGAGACGCTTAAACCGCATGTAGAGCTGGTTATCCACGTCGAGAACATCCGAAAATCCGCCAGGCTATCGATGTGCAATGATTTGAGATGATTTCTTGGTCTTTGAAGCCCCCCAGGCGCCGCTGACAGCTCCTCCTTTCGAAACCATACCGATATCAGAATAAGGTTTTCTAGGGCACCACAGCCATCGAGGACGCTGAGGGGCAGGTCCGAGACCCCACACAAGAAAAGGCCGGTGAGTGAGTTGGAATGAAAGATGTTGGTAAGCGCATCCTGCATTACCAGAGGAATTAAATACCATGCCACAGAGGCATAAGCGGTATTGTCCATGATAAAACACTGGATATTTTTGAGGTGTCCAAGTACCGAAAGAAGGGATTCATCCCGCCACATGTCCAGGGGTGCATCGCGATCTTGCACGCGACGCGCATCGAGGAGCGAAACGGTTCTTACCGCTTCACATATATCTGTAGATTTCGGCAAAATCTTGAGTAGATCTTCAGTGCGGCCGTGGGTGTGTCTTCCTGGTCGAGGATATCTCAGCTCGACTCGTGAAAAGATGGTTTGCAGTGCGATCGAGCGGAATCGGCGGCACGTCAGAGAATATGAAAGCAGAGACGATGCTTCTAGGTGGCTGCAAATGAGTTCTTGGAGCTCGTAGGGTAGTTCTTGCGCCATGACTTTGATATGGGTGTCTTGATGATGAATGTTCTGGACAGCCTAAGGAAATCGCTGCCGCCCTTGAGATGGATACGCATTTGTCAGCTATATGACACCGCCACGGCGGACAAGACAAGGACAAGGATTCCTAAGGGGCTACGCCCGTCAAGTCAAAGCTTATAAACCGACCAGCATTTGTTTGATCAAAAAATAGGTACAGTTCACAAAATCGTGCATTGCAACGAGCATCTAAATTAAATGTATAACCTCCCAAATTACACAGGCATCTCGTATTCGCTCCCATCGCTTCCATTGACAGTGTCTTCAGCATGAGAGTCCTCTTCTGGCCGATAGTTAGAGGACGAATCCGCATCAGAGTGTACTGTAAGAAATAACAGCTTGAGTTTTAGATCGCTTGGCGCATTATAATGTGATTCCACTAACCTATGATGAGTTCCGGCGAAAGAGATGGCGCCCTACATTGGCTCATTTTACTTGAATTGGGCTAATTTCTCCTCGACCTGGAATCGTGAATTTTTGAATTTTTTAGTGGGTATACATATATGGCATATACACCTGCCTGCAAAATATCTAAGCATTTGGGTAGAAACTGACCGAGAAATTCGCAGGTGTGCCAAGGAGTGGTGGTGTGCGAAGGAGCGGTAGAACACTGTAACTTGATCGTGATTTTACGCCGCAACTCGATTTTACGCTCTCCTTGACCCACAGGCATTTCTTCATCCAAATGTATGTATGTATGGAACGAATCTGACGAGAGCCAAATTGTGTACGAAGGGTGAAGATTGCTTGAATAATTCACGTCAGTTTGGCTTTCTTCGTTCGTGAAAGAGTCAAAGCCGCATAGAGCGCCGCACCCTCCAATGTCTTCTCGAAAATAACCCGCGCAGCAGTCCTACCATACTCCCATACCCCATCGACATCCTCCATCACAGCACCCATGTCTCGTTCCCCTTCACATTCACCCACCCATTCACATCCCGAGTCCCGATCAACTTCCTTCCTTCCTTCTTTCTGTCCCACTTCTGTCCCACCCTCCTCCCCCTCCTCTTCCCCCTCATCTCATCCCTGTTCCCCAGTCTCGTCCCTCTCATCCCACTTAGTCTCTTTTCCCCAACTCATCCCCAGTTCCTCTTCCCAGTCCCATCCTGCCCGCCCACACCGTCCGCCCTTCAAACTCTAATCACAGCCCGCCTAGCTCAATCGGATAGAGCGTCAGACTCTTACAGGCGGGATCTGAAGGCTGCGAGTTCGACCCTCGCGGTGGGCTACTTGTTCTTTTTTGTTGATGATGTTGTGTGTTATTTAGGAACTTGTGTTCAACGCCGTCCTGTTATCGAAATTTTATTCTTCGAGGCATCATATTTAGCGTATTCTAACGTATGTAAATACACGGTGCTAATGCAGAAGTGATATGTATTGCCTTTGCTTTATCAATGAGCCGAGAATTAATTTTAGGCTCTCGCGTCGAATCTCCCCTGATTTACTTGGACTTGGAGTGGACAGCCGTATAGAGCGTCGCAATCGAAAATGACTCGTCACTGACAGCCTTCGCGGCATCCCTGCCATACTCCCTCATCTCGTCCTCCATGGCACCCACATCCGGACATTCGATGTACCCTTCTCTGTGAAGCCTCCTCAGCGCCTCGCGGATCCACACGCGACAGCTAAACTTCGGCTCCTTTTCTTCATCGATATCGGGAACAGTCATTGGGATTTCCGCCAGGACACGGCGGAACCTGTCAACGTCGCGGTCTGTGATGGAGCCTATGACGGCAGCAGCCGCGACGGACATAGAGTCGATGAGGTTGACTTTGATGCAGTCGAAGTGCCACGCGCCGCGGCCGTAGTCGTTCACGGCGTGGAACTTGGTGCCTTCTCTAGGAATTGCCGTGGACTCAAAGCCAGCGGCGGTGTCAGAGGCAGAAGCATTTGAGGCAGGATCGTGCACGTAGAACATCCAATGGAACCTGGGCTGGTTGGAATCTGGGTCGAGAAGGTCCAGCGCGATGAGAATGTCAGGGAATTGGGGTAGGGGTACGATGCGGTCTTTCTTGGCGGTTTTCAGTTTGGAAGCCATGCTAAATATTCACCAAAGAGGTTGGATTTTTGAATGGATGGATACGACGAGTTTAAGAATGGCGACTAGTGTAGCGGTTGTGTATGTGTATGTCGGGACGAGAGTTGGAACTTGATGCTAGGTATACGTTGGGTTCTCTGAGTTCTGAGTTCAAGTTCAAAGAGTTCAAGGGTTGTCATATACAGCCCGTCGCGGTGTGGTTCAAGCTCGCAGTCGCAGATGCCCACAGTTTACGAGGTCCCGGGGCCAGAATCTGATCTGTACACTTGTACAACTCAGCCCCTCAAAGAACAGGGCCAAGGAAACAATGACGCGGGGTTTCAATTGCCAGCGCGAAGCAGTCGAAGGAACGATGGAAGAACGGAGGAGAAGAGGGCCCTGCTCCGGAGGGTTTGCCCTAGTGAGGCAGATTAGTCATCAAAATGTATTTTAAAAAATGCTCACTCAAATTCGTCGTCTGCACAACCTTGAACCCACTTCACGAACGCGTTGTCAAACGATGGCATGTCCTTAGCATAGCGAATTAACTCAATATCAAACATCTAGGAGAAGAAAACAAGCACGAGTGCATTGTTCGCAATCGTTGCAGTGGCATTGCTTAGAATACAAACATAGGTATGACAAGCAACGAATTTGGACCAACTGCGCAAGGCCAACTGCGCACAGATTCAGAGACTCTTGATTTTGAAATGATGGATTGCAACTTGGGGATTGGGATGGGTTGAAAGGTACGTGTCCTCCTTGATTATGTTCTTTAAATGCTGATGTGGAATACATTGGCGTAACAGATAAGAGCATTTGAACGTCCGAAGACATTTGGCATACGCACATTTCTCACCTGTTAGAATGCCTCACTTTCTCTCTCAGCTATTGGATGACTATCTCTCTCGCCTTCTTGCTTTTTGACTGCTGCGTCATATATACTGAGGTGTCGGACTTCTTCCAAACCCAAAGATATGCTTCGCCGTCTTATCCGCTTCGCTTTCCAAGGCACGAATGACTCTCAGACTTGACTCTGAAATTTTCAATAATGCAGGCATATGGATGAAGACAAGGTGATCAATGCTCGAAACCAAGCGGTCATCTCGGGAAGACGTGCGACCGCACCAATACGGAGTTCCCGGAAGAAATTACCATTCATTGTGATTGTGAAAAAAAGGCGGATTGCGGATGCCAACATTCGGGGTGAGTCAGGCGCTGCACACTGCTGGATCGACTGAAGTCTCAAAATTGTGCCTTGTTTCTCATAGATACTCTATAATCAAAACGAGATATAGCCAGTGCGTGAATGCTCCCTAGACAATTAAGGGGGAGAAGTCGACCCAAGTTTAGGCGAGCGGTAAGCAGAACCAGTGCCTCCCTCCCGAGTCGTCCCGAAATGTTCAGTCTCTTCCCATGGGCATCGCGGACTCCTTGCTTTTCTTTGTTTCATTGCGCTAAAATATAATTTTGTCACGCACCGTGTACGCGCTGTGAACCCACATGCTCGTTCGTGCGTTCATCAGCTCTCTCTTTCACATTCCACAGAAGCTCTGTAGACTTTCATAGCTTACTCTGCTTTGCAGATTTGGATGATCTTCACCAACTCTGGAAAGCTGTTCGGTTTAATAATAGAATATTGGTATGGGATCAACGCTGAGGTGTGTTCGGTATAGCCCTTCAGAGCCCTTACTGCACTAACCTCCTATGCGTTTTCATTACAGAATTTATGCGGAAGTTGAAGTTCCAAGTTGTAGAATGAGTTCAAACACGACCGCTCTCCAACCCAACAATGAGCTTTGGAAGGAGAACTTCGCTCATCGTGCATCGTTCGTTACCTTGAGCGTATTCTTGGTGGGCGTCCATCTAATCATCAATAAATGATTAATGGAGTCAGAGATGATATCTAAATTTATCAGGGAGCCTTTCGAGTTGGTGTGGTTGAGTTTACATACAGGAATAGCCCACCATTTTGAGATAAAATGAAGCAAGGCAAACCGACTACGCTCATCTCCCGATCCTCCAACGTCTTGGAAGACAATTACCTCTCATTCGTAGCGGAACTATGAACTCGACCATGGATTCAGACGCGAGCTCAGCCCTCAGCTCTATCCCCATTACGCAGCTGTAAGTTCGTGCAAGTATATGACGCGTTAACTTTGAATGCTAATGCTGTGAATCGACTTGGAAACAGTACAACTCCTCCGGTAGGTCCTCAGATTATGTGAATAGTCAACAGCTAAATATGACCCCATGACAGTTCGTCGCAATAATCGCAAACTGGGGACTGTTCGGAGCTCTTTCGGTTCAAGTCTGTAAGTGGTTGTTGACCCTACGTACATAGTCTTCGAACCTCTGAATATTCTCCATCTAGACTCCTATTTCCAAGCCTTCCCGAAAGACAGGACTGCACTCAAGGCTCTAGTCTATGGAGTTTACATCTTGGAACTCGCACAAACGCTTTTGCTCACGGACACCATGTGGAATGCGTTTGGGAAAAGCTTCGGAGACCCCGAAGAACTCAACGATACAGGGACGACGTGGCTTTCCATTTTCCTGATCGGAGGTCTTGGTACGTCTGCTTTTATGAGAGAATGGCGCTCTGCTCACGTTTTTACAAATTCAATATAGTCGCATTGTTGGTCCAAGTTTTCTACGTTTATCGTATCTTTGTCATTTCAAGGAACAAGATGCTTGCGAGGATTATTATTTTCGTGAGCAACTTTATCTCCTTCATCGCTAATTGTCTGACCACATCCTTATACCAGTTTGCTGTTTGCTCGTTTGCAGGAGCGTTGGCTACCGCTATCCAGGCCGAGGGGACTGGCGAGTATAGCGATGTCGCGAAACTCATTGGCCCGATGTCGGTATGTATTCATGATTCAGATCGAAGAGCTTCTTGTTTCTCACTACGTGCTTGTAGCTTTGGATCGGCGTTGGATCTTCCGTCGATGTGATCATCGTGGGTTGCATGTGGTACTATGTATTGCGTCTTTTTTAGCTGAATAGTTCCAGCGATGCTGACTACCCCATTTGATCAGCTACGCAAACGAATTCAAAGGACGCCATTCGCGCAGACTCACGCACTAGTATCTAAAGTTATTTTATTAACCATCGAAACAGGAGCATTGACGGGTGAGCGCACAAACTGCGTTGTACTGGCTTAGATACTCATCTCAAGCAACCATAGCATCCGTCTCGATCATCGCTTTAGTCTTATTCTTCTCGACACCCACATTTTTCGAAGCGCCTATAGCCACAACAGCCAAAGTTTACTCAACTACGATGCTGGCTGTCCTCAATAGCAGAGCCACTTTTGGGTCTATGCCTCAACCAGCGAGCTGGATGGATACCGAGCTTACGCTACCTTCGAACAGTGCAAGCGCAGAACCTATCAAGGTTGATATGTCGCCTACCTCGAGTACTTCTTCGCAGCATACCGCGAACGGTGTTTTTGTGGCGAAGGAAGTCATTACGGTTCGCGATTTTAAAGAACAAATGGTCTGACTTTTCGGTCGTCCATATCTATTTATGTAGGGCTCTGATATGGGAAGAACAACCTTCAATCTTTACGCTCTTTTCTCTCTTTGTGTAATATCAGATGTACATCGGTTGATGTCGATGTCGATAAAATGCATTTGCCACGCGATGGGTCGTCTGTTCACCAGGTTATTTTGAAGATATACAGCTATATTCACCGCACGTAAAAACTACCGAAACTTGGACGTAGGTCTATGAATTCAAATAAGCAAAAATAATTTCTAAATGGCTTGATTACTGAGTCAAATCTATGACTTCCCCAGGAACGAAGTGGCTAATGGGTTCCAACTTAACACGCTTGCTCGCCTCAATGGTGTCCTCTCTAGCACGCTTCTGGCCACGAATGTTCTCGAGCTCAGCCTGAAAAATTCCGAGGGTCATAAGTGAATGGTAGGAAATTTCGGGACAAGAATTCGAGGCTTACCATTAAAGCGCGCTCCCTTTCCAGCATCTCGTCGAGCACCCCATCTAGGTTTTCGTTATCACTGAGTGATACAATAGGCTTGACTTCCTCATTCTCGCCGTCCCGGGGTAGTGTAGGTTTTTCGTCAGGTCCGGAAGATGAGTCTAACGCCTTTGGGCCAAGCACAATCCTCTCTGCTTGGAGAACAGCTTTTGGCAAAGACAACTATTAGTTACAAGATGGTATTAACAAAACAGCTCATCAACAC